TTATAGAGATGAATATGGAGACTTGTAGTATTTAGTGCCTCAGTGAAATTCAAACTTGGATTTAAGTAAAATGTTCTCGACTTCTTTCAATGATTTTTCTTCTGTTCCCAAATTTTAAACCAATTTTTTAAGCATATGGAATTTTCTCTATTCCACTGAATGATTGAATGTGTGCATGCCATCGGGAGTGTGTAACTAGAACCTGACAATCTTTAAAAGTGTTAATAAAAACTTTAGTATGTGCGTAATTATATTTATATCTATAAATTAATGAGAGGACCAAATAAGTTAAGAGAGTAAACATAAAAAACTTCGCTTCAATTTTTAAAATGGAAACAGATTCTATATACTAAATAGAAATAAATAATTACTAAGAGAATTAGAAAGACAAGGTACAAATTGAAGGGATAAAGGCCTAAAAGAAAAAATTGAAATTATGTTTATTTTGTGGGGGGGAGTGGAGCGAAATTATGTTAACAAAAAACGCTCGTTATAACAATTTTCTTCATGCCTTATCCATTACTTTTTGGACAAATTACACCTATGTCTTACAGAACAGAACTTATTCTTAAAAAGTCCCATGAATTCATAAAACACTCATAATCTTGTGCATTTACAACTTGACAAAAGACATCAATAACTAAGCAATGGCTATTTTCCTTTGCAAATTTAAAATACCCATTGTTCAATTGTTAATACCTTTTATCAAATTATAAATGCATCAAATTTAAAATTTGAGAGTATTTTGTAAATTTATAAGACTCCTTAATAATAAATTCTTCTTTTGCTGAACCTGGGTGTTAATTTTCCCTACTTTTTCAGATCCATTTTGTCCTATTAAATTTCATGTGGCCAATTGAAAGTTGTGCACTGCACACCACCGCGCGCGCACGGATACAAATTTTTAGATATGGAATCTGGAGATGACATGCATCTGAGATGGCTCATAAGTTTTTGCATTCAACTCCATATATATCTGATCCCCTCTTCTACAGAAATCTTGTAAAAAGATGGAGTTCTTTAAGCATAAAATCGAAATATATATAGGAAGTTATCAAAATTGATAACAAATTAATATAATTACTAACGACTAATGTAATAAAATAGAAAACGAAACAAGCAAGCATAGAATCATCATAAGCCAGGTTTTTACTCCTCCTCTTGCTTCCTTTTCCCAGCTGTCCAGATTTAAAAGCATGCTCTTGTTCTTGAAGGAAAGCCCTTGCTCTTCCATACTTCTCTGCTCTTTCTTCATCATATAAAGCCTTCTCTTTTTCCCTCACGGATACAAGAAAGCACTGTTTACGCAATTCACTAGCAGCCCTCTTTGATTCACGTTTCAAAAGTTTATACAATTTTCTCCTCTGAGCTCGTTCACGATCTGGATCATAGTCTCTACCCTTAACATAGCTGCACGGCATATTAGACTTTTCATTAATAAAAGCTTGATTTTAGGCTGAGCCCGTTAATGACTTGCACGTTCAATATAAAAACCTGAGCAATGAACACAAAGAGCTTACTTCTCCTCAAACTTTGGATTCAATAGCCTGATAGGTTCTGGTTTTCGCTTCCGCATTTGAAGTGGTCGCCTAGTGGTGTGCTGTTCATCCACTTTTGACTTAATCAGCTCGGCAACATCTTCAATTTTATCATGAAGTGCATTTGGTGTATTTTTTCTTTTGCCAGTCGACGTAATGATGTCAAAACTGGTAAAAGATTTCAGGAAATGAACTTAAAACCATCATAGATATTGACATAGCCCGTAGAGTTTCGATAACTGCTACCAATACACTAGCCCTGTAATTAAAATACGTAAGGTTAACAAAGCTATAAACTTTACTGAGGGGGGAAATATTAATTCAACGGATTGAGATACGATAGATAAATATTTGCTTGATCTAGTATCTTTCCGCCTGAAATTATAGCTACAACATGAATATAAGTAACCAGATCTTGACAAAGCAACTTGTGCCTAAAGATATTAGATTCTTTATGAAGCATAATTGCATAAGCAAGCGAAGAATTGACAGAGCTAGAAAATGTCTTGTAATGAACAAATTGTGTATAAGGAGGAAAACATGGCACTATAAGTACAATTAACCCCTAAACTATAACTTTATAACAAAATTAGCACCTAAACTTCAAAATTTAAAACTTTGCCTACTGAAAGGCGAAACTGTTGTCCACAGACTGAATTTAATGTCCAGTACCACGTGAAAAGAAAAGGCAACCTCTGTGATTTGAGTAAAATGAGGTAATTCAAGCTATCTATTTTGAGACAAACAACCCTCATTCAAAGAGATCTTAGCAATCTCGACAATTAAACGTTTAAATTTGACAATGGATAATTGTTTTTACCTTTCATACGATAGTTCAGGGGACATATTATGTTTCAAGTTAAAATACCAATATTGTATGCCATCAGCATAATTAGTTTGTTTACCTGAAATCATCTGAAGAGAAGAAAGGAGAGTCCTCTGGCGTGTTTATCATCTTTTATGAAATCCAAAGGACTAACCTCATTTACCGTCTCTTGCATGCGCAAGAGATGCTTGGTAGTTTTCAGTTCTACAAGTTGATAAAACTGAAGGAGGACAATTAAAATAGTCATTACACATGCCTCCATGAAATTTAGTTACCTTCATAAAGCTTACACAACACCACAATCAAATAAAGTAATAAAAACCTAATTCAAGATGCAGCTAGGTTATAGATGCAGTCAAGATTTAAACTTTAGCTTCCAAAATAACTTCTTTTGCATAACAATCAATCAACTCATCTGAATGGAATTTTAAATGGAAATTCAGAAATAAGATTCTCTTTGATTCATGCTATATGTCTTGAGATTGCAAATCCAAGCACAGAGACGATTCACCTATAATTCAAAGGAATCACATGATCTGTCTTCTTGTTTTCATAACAGCATCAAAAGAATTGAGAGAAGTCATTATCCTTTCCAATAAAATGTGCCAATACATTGAAAACCAGACATGTAAAATCATTTAGTACAGCTTGCATTTATACTCTCAAATTTAGGTCCAATAACAGCTCAAGATATGGAAAAGTGATGTTAACGATCCTCTTTCCTCACCTCCCAAATAAAAACTAACATATCATTCACAAACATTATCAGTATCAAATTATGTTTCAAATTGTAGTCAATGAAGCATAAAGTCATACCTGAGAATCTTCACCTGAAATGGATTTTTCTTCAGTAGCTATCACCAGCAGAGTTCTGAGAAAAATTATGGCTTCAGGACAGAACTTCCGTGACTGTTTAAATATCTGTAATTCAAAATAAGTACATGAGCAAGCAAATCAATCAGTATGACGGTATCAAGTTAGAAAATGAAAAGAAAAAAAATTAATAGCAACAGAATCATCTAAACAACATTTAAAGTTTCGGGAAATTCATTGTCAAGTTTTAAATATTTAAGAGTTTATTTGCAGACGATCAAAAATTTAGGGAGTTGAGCATAATTTAGCCCAAAAAAAAAAGGTTTAAAGGGTTAATTCACCACAACATGATAATTATCAGCATTCAAAAGACTAAGATCATGATAAAATTCAAAAAATGTACACCAGAATATTGTTGTTGATGTCAAATGGAAACAGCAAAACATAAAAACAACAAATAAAACATCTTGCTTGAAGATGTACTCACAGAGAGAAGCATGGAGCATAAGAAAGCACCAATGGCAGCATCCCGACCAGACAATATTGGGCAGCGCATCAGATATTCACACATCAATAATATTGCTAGCGTCATAACTGGATGCCGAAAGTCAGAGCACGGAAATATCAAGGACCACAACCGCAAAAGAAATATCATCTTGGAAGAAGGCCAACTGCTACTTTCTGAGACAACATAAAAGATTTAAAAACAAAAAAACAAAAAAAGTGTCACAAAAGCATATACAGTTTCACGTTCTTGTTAATAGGCAACACAGAATATACAACTATTACATTTACATTCTAACCTGGGTTCTTTAAGCTCTGAACCAATTGTTTTCTTGCCCTTTCTATTCTTTGACGAGCACATATAGTAGCGAAAAATGGAATCTCCATGCTCATTTCTATCAATGGCTTCCCCATCAAGTTTAGTAACTCAAAATTCAATGGCTTTTTATTTGCCAAAACAGCAAAATACTGCAGTAAATTGCCATAAAATACCTACAAAGAGAAGTCATGTTATAAATATTGACTATAAAATGAATCTTTAATAATCGTACACAATTTTATAGTAAATTATTTAGAACAGCAGGTCAGAGAGAGTCAGTTAATGTCCAAGTGTCCAAAGTTAGTCTAAGTGCTACGTCAGATGGTAAAAGTAGAATAAACCCCAAGAAAATGCATCATAACCATGAGCTATCCCTTTGCATATCCATAAGGGACAACCCCTGTCCTATAATAAATTACTGAAACTTGGGAGGCAGATAAAAATTAACCCCAAAAGAAGATCTGGTGAGATCTCTTATCTTGTTCTAACAATAAACTTAGCCAAAGGACTTTTTTTTGGACAATAGCCAAAGGACGTTAACTAGCCCATCTTCCACAAAATGCTGTGAACTAGTTTTATCTTGGATCACTGAAAATTTGGAGTCAAGGGCTATCCATAAACCCACCAAATTCATCCCAGTTAGAGTCAAATCCACAATCTTCTTGTTAAAGTAACCAGATCTCCGCTAGAGGAACACAATAACAAGTTTCAAGAACATAAATGCACAGATGTTCAATAGAAATAATGACGCAAGCACATGAACAGGCAATTCCAGTTATAGACCCAAAATATATATCGAAATCAATTATGCTGGCTCATTGTATCAATAAATTAGTTTAACCTAGTCAATAGTGCAGGATTCCTTCAAGAAAGCATCCACTGAATCAAAACAGTTAACAAAAACTTTTTAGCTACTACAGCTCAGACTATAGATCAAGTCCCTTGATACTTTTACATGCAAGTGTCAGGACTAGCACAAGCATGAAACACAATATAGTTTAAAATCCATAGGCAGTCATCATATTTATAAAAGTAATATTACTCAAGTGATGAAGCATGAAACCATTAAAAGAACCATAAACTGTATGGTAAAGATTTAGAGATTTTAGGCATTACAACATAACTTTCTAATTCATCATGCACAAAACATTAACGTTCAAAAAAGAAGAGACTATGAAGATGAAATTTTCTAAGAGCTTCCACTTTAACTGACAGTTGAGAGAAAAATAGAAATTTATACAAACATACAGATAATATGATTTTAATGGACAAGGATATAGTTACATACTTGCATCTTTTTGCGGTTTTCTGCAGCAAGTTTGATTGCATTGCTTGCTCGAATTCGGTTAATAACCATGATAATGTCAGAATTTGAGCAGTTATCAAACAATGAACATAATTCTTCAAATGTCTTAGGAGCTTCAATTATATAAGGAATGTCTGACTTTGCCGAAGATTTTTTAGCCCCAGAATCCATCTTCTTGGAATCTGAATAATCCCTATCCTTTTTAACATTTTCAACATCATCTTTATTCTTGGCATTTATAAGAACTGTAGCATTCAATTTCTTCTCAGCATTGACCCTGTCATGCCGTCCTGCCTTTTTTCCTTTCTCTTTATCACCACTATCTTCTTCTCCTTCATCCTCTGAATTTGGCTTGATATTCTCATCATCACTTTGTTCCCAATCCTTCAAAGAATAACTATTTTCATGTTCATAAGGATCCTCATCAGAATCTTCATCTGCATCTTCAGAACTTTCAGAATCATCAGAAGCTTCACCACCCTCACTAGCAGAATCTTCTGCATTTTCTCTTTCAAGAATCTCATCAATCCAGCCCTTTTTGCTCATTGTTTCTTCACTAACAGAAAAGGAATCACCAAGGTCATCCCCAGAGAGCAACTTTGGCTTGTCTTTTGGTGAATTTTCTGAATTTTCATGATCTTCATCACTTGAATCTTCAGCAGCAGCCATCCTCTTCTGTCTCTCTTCCTGAAATTATGTTGTTACAGGTTAAAGAAATCAAATAGTTGACTCCATGGAACAAACAAGTCCATGGCAGCAAATGATATATTACAATTGATTGATGTTACTCTGGAATCATAGCGATGTTAAGAATCCACTGGCAAATGTTAAAGTCATCCATTTCTAAAAGCCAGCTTTGCCAAGCATAAGGAATTTATAAATACCTCTAATTGCTCTAAGCGTTCTCTTTCCTCTTGAGCAATCTCTTCTGGAGTCTTTGTCCTGTCTGAGGGGCGAGCTCTCATTTCCAAAGCCAGTTCTTTGACAAGCTTGTCATAAGCATCAGGTTTATCCTGCCACAAAGAACAAATAGGATATTACAACAAGAAGAAGCTCTCAAGGCCTACAAGAATCCTCATGAATAGGTACCTCCATAGATGCATCTATCTTCTGAGTGCCAGATAAGCTATCTTTGTTGCTAGTTTCAATAGTAATACTCTTGTTCACCAGAGCCTCCAAGGAATTCGTTTCCTGGGTTCAGTCAGAGATAATAATACTTTAGACTGAATTAAAGCAGTGAATTTATGATCTAAATCTTCCAGCAACTGTTCATTTTCTTCCTTTTCTTTAGCTTTCTGGGCCTGGAACATATTAAAAAAAAAGAATATGTAAGGACAAATAGACTATAAATAAACCAATAGCCCATGACTAAAGAAAACCCCATACCTTGAAAATTTTGCTTTTTGAGATAATTTCGTCCATAACTTCCTTCTTGCTTTTATGTTTCTGCAGGTGATAGAAGTATTTTATTAGAACGAATGCAGTTGTAAAGGAAGCTTATACCTTGAAAATGGAAGATTAAATCCACATGATATCTCTTATGCATAATGCCATCATAAGAGAGAAAAATGCAATATGCTCAAGAAAGCAAAAGGATCTTACATTTGGCTCGCCTTCTTCTCCAGAAATCCTCATATTATTATTAATACTAACAACGGAAGAATTGTCTGCAAAATCAAAATGGAACCCATGCCGTCAACACGAAACTCAAGACAAAAGGTTGTAATATGGGTACCCTCAAGTATAAAACGTAATACCTACTGGACGTATAGCATTAACTTCTAAAAGAAACAATACTAAGGCATAGTTTAGAATTACCTAAACAAATAAAAATTTACAAGATTATGAAAATGAAATTGAAAAGATGAACCCAAGTTGTTATAAAATTGTTTTATGGTCCCACTTTAAATTCAAAACTACAATAAGGAGAAAGCAAACCTCATTAAGGGGTCAAGCCAAAAGTTTTTAGATTTGTCCCCTTCCCGAAATGAGATAAGGGTGCCCCAAATATACACGTGAAAACCACTTTCAATTATTGATTCTCATCCAAGAGATCAAATGGTGTATATACTCTACTTACTGCTAGCAATTATCTAACTCATATATAGAAAGGAAAACTGTGCAAAAGTTAAACAAATGTTACGTACTCTTAGCTTCTCCAGTCTCAACAGCATCATCATCATCAGAAATCATTTCATCCTCAAAATCATCTCTTCCTTGTATTTCCTGACCCTCATAATCTTCTTCTTCTCCATCTGACAAGTTATACTTACTTTTCTTGTTCAATTTTGAGCGCAACTATATACACCCAGATAAAAGTGTTAGAGAAGGAACTACAACTAATGAGGATTAGCATTTGAGCAATCACACCAGAGATTTCAGAAGTTTCCAAGTTCCACCATAGAATATATTTAGATAGATTATAAAACAATACTATAAAGTACGCTTGGAGCGTAAGCAACATATACAGAGCTACTTGTTAGACAGTAAAGATAATTCACTAAGGCAACATTTTGGGCCAGGATAAGAAAATTTTAGCCCCAAAAAGAAAACTGATGAACTCCTATTATAAATGTAATTATAAATAAATGAAATAACAGAACCATAAGATTGATTTCCTAGGGGCAATAATATCCCTAACTCAGCATTCAATGTTAGCAAGAGTCACGCTGGCAATATATAAGGTGAAAATTGGAATGAAAATCATTTTTCTGACAATTATACACGCCCCTAAACCATTAAGAAAGAGAAAGATAACTCCCAAAATACAATGCTGAAATGATCAAACTCATGGGTTTTGTAACCAGCCCAAGAAAAAACCACCTGGAGTTCACGCTGTGATCTCAAAACAGCTTTGCCAAACTCATCTAGATCTTCATTTTTCTCTCCAATTCGCTTATCCACAAACACAGATGACTTCCCTCTCTGCTCATACTCCCTCAACAGCGTTTTATTCCTCTGCCAAACCAGAAATAAGATAAGTTCACAACAGCAAAATAAAATAGAAAGAAATAAGATGACGAGAAATTTCTCATGTTTATATTTGATACAAAGTAGCAAACAAAATATTTATTCAATTCACAAAAAAAACCATTCTGATCAAGGAATCTACAAGCTTCCTTCATGACAATATTTAACAAAACCTTACAATAACAATAAAATAGGAAAATAGTAAGCAAGCACTTACTTTCTCAATGCCACGAGAACGAGCCATGCCTACCCGACGCTCTTCACCTTTATGTTTTTTCCCCAGTATGTCAAACTTTCTTCGAGACCAAATCGTCTCAAAAGGGTTTTCTTTGGGGACCTTAACTTTCATGGCTACAACATCTGGACCAATCTTGTTCTTCTTCTTGCTCGTCTTTTGGGTACTAAGTTCCCGATTCGATGATTTTGCCATTGATGAGGGTGTTGGAGTGCACCTTTTTAAGGTTTAGGATTTATGTGTCTATTATAATGAACTCACTGTCGTGTAAAACTTTCTCTTTGCTGTGAGAGGTGATTGCCAGACCCTACCTATCAAAGGTAGATAGATGAGTATGGTGACAGTTCACCACAAGCAACGCCGACCTTTCACACAAGAAGAATGCGAGTTGCTTTTTTAGCTATTTAATTTTAATGCACAAGACCCATCAAGACTTCAATACTAGATAATGTTTCTGGACAAACAAAAAGAAAAGAAAAGAAAAGGGAACTATACGATGTTTGCTGCAATATTTTATACACATCATATAAAATAATACTATTATGGGCTTGGTGATATAACATTAGAAACAAAACTCCTTCAATGTTAGAATAACTAAATCTACATATAACCACAATATACTCAAGGAGAACTCAAATATAAACAAAATGAAACTGTACCTATTAACACTGCAAATCTAATGTCTAAAAATTCAAACTCCAGAACTTGATTGAAAAGCATAATTGTATGACAAAATATAATTGCATAAAGATTGGCTACATCATTTGATCTGCTCCCTCAAATCCTATAAAGAAGAATAATCCCTTCCACATATTTAAAAATATATTCAATGATTTTTTATAGCTAAGTTACTGATGTTTGCGTTTAGGCCTGGTGTTGGAAGCAGATTCACTTATAAATCCCAAGCCATTTAGCCATGGCAACGAACACTTTTCCTTGCAAAATAAATGGGTGATTGGTTTATTTTTCTTCTCTGGTGGATGGGAATACTCAAAAACACAAACAACTTCCGTTGAGAATAATTCATATATGATCTTGAATGAAGAACATTGGAAAGATCAACTGGATAAACAAATGACAACCAATTATTATAATAAACAATCCAGAATACAAATGTTAGGATTCAACCATTCCTTATTAAGTGGCCAAGAGACAAGTTTTTATTGGTTAAGAAATTGAAGTAGGTGAAGGAAACTCAACGGCGATTCCAAGCATCTCAAGAGTATGGTATTTCTCTAATCCATTTTGTTCGCATTGCCTAAGATTAGATGGAAAGAGAAGTGGATTCCAACAGATTGGGAGCAGAGGGTGACCTTACCGAGACGGACCATAAACCACCAGTGGTTGACCGCAGCTGCTGGTAGAGACGGTTGTGGCAGTGAAGAAAAAAGAGCACAGGAGAAGGGCAGGGTTTATTTTGAAAATACAGGATATGTAATGCAATGTTGCAAAATGCAAAGCAACCATACCTTATTTTTAATTATTTTTTCAGAAAAAATCGTTCTAATTCACAAAGTTGAACTCTAAATTTTATTTTATTTAATTATTTCACTTCACCCAACGACAATTAGTAATGGGACATTTAAATATATGAGCAATATTATGAAAAGATACTAATTTAAACTTTAAATTCAAAACATTTTAAAACATCATATAGTTATCCTAATATTTTTAAAGAGGAATGGGGAGGGGAGGAATTTCAATGATCTTTTGTTTGGATTTCAAGAGGGACGAAAATACCATCAGGTAGTACCAGAAAATTTCCTTCTAACTCAATTATAGCCTCTAACACTATATAGAGATTATGACTAATTGCCTCACCACACCATATGAGGGCAAAATACACGATTTTTTACTGTCTCAATATGTTAAAGAGTCTTAGAACCTTGTTCTTTCACACACGTGAATAAAGTGTGGCTTGCAAGCCACCCTCTCTTTCCAACAAACCACATAATCTAAAGAAAGCTTCAGGACCCATCCTAACAATATCTTAACCATTTCTACTATTAATTACTCGACTCATTACTCCTTCATGTACTCATTCTCCCCTCAAACTCATATTGCAACCTATTCTTCTCTTATTAGACATGTGAACCACATAGCACCATACAAAAGCACAAACAACTTGAACTGTATAGCTATTTGATGCACTTCCAAGTATCGGGGAACCAACATAAAGCATTGCATCAAATTTTGGCGAACTAATACATCTATTGCACCATCAATCTCATCTAGTAAAAACCAAATAAAAAATTTACATCTAATCAGAAGATAGATACCATAAACTGCAATTGCAACAATAAATATGAACAAATAGATTCTGCTAATTCTTCTACCATGGCATGCCTGATTTGAAATCAATAAATATGAATCAGTTGCAGAAATTCTCTCTAGCTGATGGAAAAGGAAAAAGAAGTCGGGTCCTCAAAGTGCTTTGTATATCCCAAACTTTCAGATACTGAATAAACCAGTTCAGTAACAATCAATGTTTCAAACTTCCAAGATTAATTATATTATATCTCAAGAGGCAAAAGCATCTAAGTAATGAACGAAAGGCAAACAAAACGGCTTATTCTTTTTTTCTTTTGATAGCAATACTCAGCAGTACAGATATGAAAACATTGGACAACCTTCTTCCAAAAACAACTGCCGAGAAACAGTGAGCGAACACAGGGAGAGAAGGAAATGAAAACTAGCAGAGAAAGAGTACAGATCGAAAAAGAAAAGCAGCACCATATAAACAGCAACGATAGAGAAAATAAGAACAAAAACAAAAACAAAAACAAAAACAGAAGAAGAGCAGACGGAACGTAGAGAAGCGGAACCTGGAGTGAGAACCAGCGGTAACAACGAGTGGGAGCGGCGGCGGAGACAATTGCTGGCGCCGGTGCTATGATATTATGTTGCTTTGAGGGTAATTTTGTAATTGTAAAAATTATCTTTCATTTAAAGTTAAAATATATTTTTAGATGGAAAAGTGACCTTAATATCCTCTAAAATATATAAATGATAAGTTAGTCTCTCAAAATATTATAATTTTTTTAAAATTTTTAAAAATTTTTCTATTAATAATAAATTTATATAAATTATTAAATTATGTTTATTAAAAATAAATTATTTTTAAATATTTACAACTTTCTTTCTCATATTTGTAATAATACAACAACAAATCATAACTTCTTATGTTAAATTTTTTATTCAAAAACTTAATTTTTACCCAAAATAATTGATTTTTTAATTGATTTTTGCCAACATTATTTAAACACTTATTTATCCAAAAAATTAATTTTTTTTCAACGCTGCCAGAGCTTTTGCGCTCAATTATTCAAGGAATGTGAGAAAATTATAAAAAAACTCAAAAAATAAAAAAAGCACAAAATTTAATAAAATTAAAATTAAATTTCCTTTTTTTATTTTTTTAATAAATTTTAAATTTTAAATATTTAAAAAAGTTATTAACATAAGTTCTTCTCAATCCTCACCTTTCACTTATCATTTGTTATAAAACTAATTTAAATAAAATATTAATTGACAGAAAAAAATTAATTTAATTTAATTTAAAATTGAGAGTCATTATAAAGATTATTGCAAAGGTTTAGAGAGAGAGAGAGATTTTACATCATTTGTTGCATTGCTATATTTTTTATATTGTTAAAATTTTTAAGCAATGCTTAATATTTTCATCAGATATAGCTTATATTCATGATATTATTAGAGATTAATTTATATATTATTATCTTCATTAGTTATTATAAAATTGATATTTGATATTTAAAATTAAATCTTTTCTTTTATCAGATTTATTTAAACTAAGATATATTGAGTTATTTATTTACATAAATTAAAATTGTTAATATTAATATAATTTAAATTTTTATAATTAATCATATATATAATTTAAATAATATATTTTACTTTTTCATTAGTTATTTTACTTGTTAAAATTAATTTTAAAAAAATAATATCTAAACAGATTATGTTATAATATAGTCAATTATGATTAAAATTTATCATTTAATTAATTATTTTTATAATCTATTATATCCAATTGAAATTTAAACAGGCACTTAGTTTTATAAAATATATTATTAAATTATTTAATCATAATATCATTAATTTTTTGATAAAAAATTTTGTATTAAACTTTTAAAAATTGACAAAATATTTTTAAATATTGATTTATCAAATTTAATTTTAAAAAATAATAATAGCTGATATAAAAATAATCATTCAAAATTATCATATTATATTTAAAATACTAAAAATATAATTTATAAAATTAAAATATTAAACTAAAATCTTATATAAAATTATAAGATAAAAAATATATCTTAACCTTCATTTAAAATACATTAGCAATTAAAATTAGAAGATATAATATTAAAATTTTTTATAAATTTTTATTTTGGTAGTGCAAATTTAGATTGTCTAGATTACTGATCATATTTATTAATTTTTATAAATATTTTATCTAGATAGTCAAAATTAATATGAATATTATCCTTAGAGAGTAGAGGTGCAACGGAGGGTGGAGCATCAAAACCAAGTCCCTCTTTCTCCACTTATCCTTTAACAAAATTAGTTTTCATATGATAATCGATTAATCTTTATAAAATTTCATTTGAGAATATTTTCTATTTATATCAATAAAAAAAATAGTCAACTTTTACTTAAATGTCAGTTAAATGGTTAACATTTAAAAAATTTGATGGATTGATCACTTTTGCACCAACTATGATAATGTTATAGATATTTTTATCCTTTTTCTTACTTTAAACTATTAGATGCTCTTGGCTGACGATTTCGTAAATATTTTTGCCCTCTTTTTCAGTCCAAGTCAGTGAAAACTGATACATGATATGTATAGTCAACATTTAGTATCAAAAACTAACAACGTTAGGATAAAGTTAACGGTTTAATCGCTTCATCCATTCATATAACATTATGCGTATTTATATTATTTTTCTCAATCTGAACTATTGGATGATCTTGGCTGATGATTTTGTAGATTTTTTTGCCCCTTTACCCATAAAAAACTATAAATTTAGTCTTTAATTTTACACGAGATTTTATTTGAGTCATTTAATTTTATAAAATATTTTTCAATTATTTAACTCTAATGTTATTAATCTCACTCTCATCACCAAAAAAAATTATATTGAACTCTTAAATATTAACAAAATATTTTTAAATATTAACGTATTAAGTTTAATTTTTTAAAAAATGATTAGATAAAAAAAATTATTTGAAACTAATAATATCAAGATTAGGAGACTAAAAAAGTAAAAAGATCCTTTATAAAATTAGAAGATTAAATTAAAATATTATATAAAGTTAGATAACTCCAAGTATACCTAAAAACTAGCCTTTTTAGTTTTTAAATAAAATGAAGAGAAAAAATTAAAGAAAATTTAAAAAATATTTTTCATTATTTTTTTCCATTAATTTCATCATAAAGATGGGAAAACTTAAAGAAAAAAAATTATATTGATGAGAAAAAATGTTTTTTTTTGTTTACTTTTCTCTCTTAACTTGTTATTCTATAATGTTTTCTTCTCATTTCAATAAATAGGGTAGAAATAGATTTTGGTCTGAGATTTTTGGTGGAGAGCAAAGAAAGTTGTTTTTTTTTTTTTTATGATGCACAAGTATTTGTTTTTATTGAAAACAGGACATGTTGTTGGATATAGAATATAAATACCACAACGAGCAGTATTATCTTTTTTTGAATAATACGAGGATCTATTAAGTTTAAAAAATGGATATAAGTTACATCAACTTATAAAATGAGACCAAATCTTTTCATTTGTTCACCACCTCTTGGCAAAAAAGTGATAGTTGATCAAAAGCACATAAACTATCAATAAAATCTAAAGTATTTTGTGTGAGTAAATGAATTCAAAAGTTTGCCTAACGGTATATAAAATTTAATGAAAGAAAACCATAATGATTCAACCAAACTCTGGCATAATCAATGATATCTGTTAAAAGGTGGTGATTCACATCATTCCTAGTAATTAAATTAATCGCCTCGGCACAGTATATGAAAACATGAACACGTTGAATGTTCGTATGACAGCATAAGTTAACACCTTGGATAATGCCAATAATTTCACTAATTGCAGGGGGAAATTGACCAACACTGGAACGAAAGCCAGCAACCCACTCAGCCTCACTATACTGTATCACACTTCACATTTGAAAATGACATTCTTCTAAGAACCATCAATATTTAAGTGAAAGTCATTACCATCTCCGTACCATTAATACTGAGATCGTTTCGCTGGAGTACTCATAGTAATGGAGGAGTTGACATTATTAAATCGAGTGGCTGGATAAGAAAAAGCACTTCTGCAGTTTAAAAAATTGGAGTTCTTTTCGCAGATTGGAAGATTTTTTTTTGTTTTTTTGTGGTGGGGGGGGGGGGGGAGACAAAAGCATTGTGAGGGGGGTATTATGGAATTTTGATATTTCAACTATGTATATAACTATATATATTAAATAAAATTTATATCATCATTCTCTCAAACATGATTTTTTTTAATAAAAAAGAGATTCATTGCAGCAACAAATGTTTGCGAGGTAGCTACTATTAAATATACATCTTTTCCTATCATCCACCTCATCTAAACCATGCATTAAAGTGCCAAACATGTTTTAAAAATTCATTCACATTCATCATCTCATTCCTGTTTATAAGTTTTGGAGGAAGAATGTACACTTGTAGTGGTTGAGTTTAACGTACGTATGCAGGAACAAAACCATAATATTAGACTTGATTCAAATAAATACAACAAATGCACTTGGAAAATAAAAAGAAAGAAAAACTGAGAGAATGAATTTAGAATCACTACTGAATATTTGAAAGTTATCTTGCTCTTAAAATTATCCACACCGATTGTGGTTTTTGATCGTTTGTGCATGATAATAAAACTATTATCTCTTCTGAACTTTTAAATTATTAAAGGAAAACTGCACAATTAACCTAGAGTATATTACATTTTCAAGCCTAATTTTCTTTATATTCTGATAAAGATTTCATGGGCTTATATTGAGCCCAATCCACTGAGAGTAGATTACCCAACACTGTTTTTATTAATATTCTCTATTTCCATTCCATAAAAAATAATTCTCCCAGGCCTATAATCCCTTCTCTTGTTTCCTTGAAAAACATTGGCACCCCAGAGCTATGTTTGGGAATCCAAACTCTAGAATTTAGTTTACGGAACAGAGTTGTGTGTGAAAAATATAATCATCGCACAAAGATTAATTGGCTGCATCTTTTCATCTGCTCCATTGGAATCTTACAAAGATCTGATCTCAACTTTCATATACTCCTTGAATATCCTGCTCTTTTCTCCCCTCATGTACCTTGTAGAAATTCCTCTTAGCTCTTTCTTTTTCCTTTGTTTTTTAAAAGAAAAAAACACAAGTTTTCATGGGCTTTGTAAAGCCAAGAAAAGTATTAAAAAAACAAACCCAAGAAACAAAAGGTAAGTAAAATCTAGTTAAAATAGCTCAGATTGATCATATTCTAATTCAATTTGGAGTCTAGATGTAGGTGTTTTATATGCTAAATATGAACACATCAAATCAACAAGTCATATGTGATCTCAATTAATAATACACATATTAACCATAATTAATCTAGCATTGCAATTTTGCATATCAAACTTTGGTCCTTTTTTTCGCTCAGGTGTTACATGCCCTCATTCAGTTCCTGTACCTCAATAGAGAAACCTAAAGAATGACCTTTGTGATTCTTCACTCTTCATTAGCAGCAATGGCCTACATAATGCCATCTTATGGTCACTTTCCATTGCATTATCATCATTTCAGTCCCTTCTCATTCTCAAGACACATTATATCATTTACAAACACTGTAGATTACAGACACACACACCAGTATGATCTAGAAAGGCTTATGAAAAAAACCTTACAAATCTCACAGTGAATGTCTTCATGCCTTCCTTTGACCAAAAGTATAAAGAGAAGACAACACCAATTGTAATACCAAAAAGAATATAAAGAACACTTTGAGCAGCAAATCATCTGCAGGATTTGTGATTGTTGAGTTTGATTAATTAAGCCAAGAGCCAAAAATCCTTGTGACGCTTAGTGGTGATCATATAGCCTCCTGCTTTCTTACTTTTTCTTCTCACTGCAATCGCCATGCAATGAGCATTCTGTATGCAGTACTCCACCACCCCGGTGGCCACCCGGTGGCCAGACCACATCATCAGAAGACGCCATGTTGTGGACCTCTTCTTCTGCCCTAAAACCAGAAGTGACACTCCTTCTTTTCTGGCTTCCTCCACTATTTTTGGGCCCTTCTCCTTCCCTTCCAGCACTGCAATCTCAATTTGTACCTATCAGAACCATATAATCTCATAACATTAATTCAATCATCACATGCCTTCATCAATGTATACTAACAAAAGCAGAGATATAAAGTAGCATGCTCGTTTTAATAATCACAGAAAAAAGCTTTAATCCTTACCCATGTTCCACAATCTGTGAGCTTTACATTTTGCAGGCGGTAGTGGAACAATTAGATATATAAAGTGAAAACAAGTTGAAACTTTATGCTTTCTTTTCTTTTCTTTTTTTCAAGAATGTTGAAAAAAAAAAAAACACAACATGGAATAGGAGGAGTAAATTAAACTCACTTCAGGTCTCTTGACGTTGCACATATTCTTGAAGGAGGAGACAAGTTCATAAGCCTTTGGATTTGGAGGCGGAATATCCTTGCTGGACTCCTCATCTGTGGCTGCTAATGTCATAAATGAAGAAGTATTATCAGTTTCAGTCACATGAAGAAAACAAGATACCGCAATCAGTTTCAGTCACACCTTGTTTAGAAGAAGGCTTAGTCACATGAAGAAGTATTATAATGTCTTGGCTCTGAACAGTGTGAGTGAGTGCCCATTGCACAGCCCACTTTGCTGCAAAACTAGAATCAACCACAATCATGATCTTCCTACCAGCAACAACCCCGTTTTTCGCCTCATCACCGGGTTTCTTCTCACAATCTTCACCGGAATTCTCGGTTTCGAGGTGGGTAGGATCAAGCTTGGATTGTACTGGTGGGGAACGGACACGAGCATGCGGCCTGATTCTGTTGAGGCAGAAGCCTGGCAACTTAGGTCCTCTCTTACCCATTTGCTCAATCGCCTTGTGTGCAACAAGGCACCAATGTTTATAATGATGAGAAGGAGCATAGAGAAGGAGGAATCAATAACAATGAGGCTTGAGGGAAATTTTCGATGATGTTTTGGCATGGGACACGGTACATTTGTGCTTTGCTTTCTCTTTTCTTTTACTTTTTTCCAATCATTTTTGGTTCTTTTGTTTCTTTTTATTTGTTTTTCCTCCTTGTGGGGGTGTCATGTCCCTTACGAACGTGCTTGTCATCAAACTGTAGGACCATTCTTCCTCTAAGACCAGCCCTTTACCTCACCCTTCACCATTTTTCCTCATCACAATTTTGTGGAATTGTTCACATAACATGAAAGCAAAAGTCTGAGGAAAAAGCTCATCCAACAAAAATTAACCTATTAAATAACAGAACTTCTTAAATTTATAAAGTTCACTTTTGTTATGAGACTTTAAAGATGTAAGAACCATTCTAACAAGCATGTCGATTCTCAAATAGAGTGGCATTGTTATGAGTTCTATACTGAAAAGTCTTACAAGTGAGATAAAATTTATAAATTCAAGAGATTTTTTTAAGCTAATTTTTTGAGATGGGATCTCCTTTTGACTTGTGCCTGTAATATTATTTTAGTTTAAAACTAAATATTCTTTCCCATAAAATATTTTTCTTCAAATAGCAATCTTAAAACAATTTGAAGAAAAATCAAACCCAAATCAATAAAAAAAATATCTTCTAGTTTTTTATAATAATTTTTTTTTCTGGATAAGAGTTAGATAAAGTTGTTTTTAGCCGTGAATACTTATCATTTATCAAACAATATCATTTAAAAAAAAAATCTTTAGGTATGGCCTTTGTTAGTACTGTGAAATAACCAATCAATGACATTATTAAAGTGATATTCCTCTCACTCTAACACCTCGTTAGAGGCTTCTTTTGTGATTGATTTGCAAAGCCCCCCATTTCTTCATATCATTACAGGATGCTTCTTTTCTCTTCTTTTTTTCTTGCTTTCATTGGTTTTATTGTTAAAGGAACGAGTGGGGCATAGGTTAACAATGACAAACCATGTGAACCAAAAATTTAGATAAAAAAAAAAGAAAAAAGAAAAAAAAAACTTGCTTATAAAATATGTTACTTCAAATTGCTTGACATATCCATATTGATATTGTATCTCATACGAATAAATGCCAATACTTTTTCTCCATGTCTATCTATAAAGTATTAAAATATTATTTTAATTTAAAAACATTCTTAATTTTTTATGCATGCCCGATAGTTTTAATGTTACTATCAATATTAGAACATTGATACTTAAAGCAATTTTTAAGAAATTAAATTTGTTAAAGATAATAGCTATTCTAATATTTTTATTTCTAGTTTCCTTTTATGATTTACCTTTAAAATTCCTTTGTTATTTCCTGAATAACTATCCCTGGCTTCTTGTTATTAATCAGCTAATATCACATAAGTGAGATTTTTTTTTTTTTTTTTTTTTTGCGTGGCATTGGGATTTGGCTAGATTGGTAGTCCTGGTGCCTCTATTACTCAAACTCTGACTCCAGTCATTTTCTAGAGTTGAGTTTTGGAATCCAAGGCTAAAGTCTGATGATGAAGAGTTAAAAGTAAAGTGATTGGTGAATTAAACGAGATTCACATGTGGCATGGAGTGATTAGGGGATGAATTAAACAGATTAATTCATTTTAATTAATTAATATATAAACAGTAAAGAAAAAGGCAGAACATGAAAGCAACTATCCAACTTCCCGTTGGACTCCTTAAAGGGAAAAGATCCAAATGACTTGAATGAAGGCAAAAGTAGATTCTCACTTCCTCAACAAGATGACCCATTTTGAGTAGAATGATTGTGATGTTAGGTAATTGAGGAAAAATAAATATGCCAAGACTTCAACTGGCTAGTTTCTAATTATCACTACCGTTATCATGTCAAATCCCACCCTTTTCTCCCAATTTTTCCCTTGCAAATTCAAAGCAACCACCAAACACCTAATTGAAAAGTGATTATTTATGTGATTGTGTATGGATTTCTACAGTAATTTTCTAGAACATTTGAAGGGGTTGACTTTCAATGCTCATTATTTTCGTGAGATTTTAGCCACATCAAAAACTGATTTCAATTGTTCAATTTTAAAATCTTTAACCTTTAATTTTTCATGAGATTTTTTTTTCCGAAATAACAGTTATAAAATTATCTTTATTTTGAATCATGTAAATATTGAAATAACAATTTATTAAAACATAAAAAATAAGACTATCAAATTTAGACTATCCAAATTAAATATAAACAATCCATATTGGTATGAAACTAAATAAAGATAGTTAATTTCACCAGATTCCAAACTCCCACTTCCCGGGGGCATGTAGGAGTCATTGCCTCCCCATACTCTAAACTATTTTTTATACTTCTTTCATTTTAAAATGTAAGACAATTTTGAACTGTTATCTAAAATAAAGGTTTTTTTTTTTTTGCTAATCTCCAATAAAGTAATTGTTTGTAAACTAACATAATTTTTTTATTTTATTTAAACATAAATATAAAATAATTTATTTATTAAGAGCACTTTTAAAAAAATATTAATTATACCTTAAAAAATAAAAAATATTTTATATTTTTGAATATATAAACCCTCAAAAAAAGGTTTTAACACAAGAAGTAAATAGAAAATTTTTTATTTATAAAACATATTGAAATCAACTTTTGGCCCCGGCCCCTCAATTTTAGATAAATTTTCAGTTTTGCCCCCCTCTCGCCATGATCATTTTGGGATTCGTCCCTGCTTCCACTTGACAGTGCAAGCCCACAACTAGATCCAAGGTTAAAGCCATTCCTCTTTCTGTTGTGGGCTAATTTAAAGGAAGTAAAACTTGCTCAATGAACAAAGTTTGAGTACAAATCTCATTTTCGGTTGTTTTCTCCATATACTACAATACTTTTTTAGGCAAAACAGTATACTATATTAAAATACATTTTATTGTAAAAATAACATTAGATATTGATCATTAATAATTATTTAATATATTTAACCTTTTTATGTTTAATTTGAGTTATCTAAATTTCATTTTTTTGTAAAATTTTTTATATCAATAGTATACTTTTCATTTCATTTTGATTTTATACTATATATAAAGGTATCAAGTGAAACAGGCGGATTATTAAGTACTAACTTGATGTCCAGCCTTTTAGGCTTTTTTTAAAGATTAAAAAATTAGTAATTTTTAGATAATTTAAAAAGTTTATAAAAAGATATTTATTTTATAAAGATTTTATAAAAATATATAATTTTATGTTTGGTTACAACAAGTAAATGTTATTAGTATTTAAGTATTTTTAGTTTTTATGATATCTTTGTGAACCTCTATTTATAAAAAAATTTAATTAATTATTTTAAAATTTTATAATATTTTTGTATATCTCACCTATTCAAATTTCAAAGTAGTTTTTCAAAACGATTTAAAATATATTTTTTTTAGATTATGATTATTTAAAATATTCAAAACTAGATTTAAACCTGGTCCTAGAGAAATTATTTAAAATTTTAAAATAATATGTTAACCTTATTTATTAAAAATATAATCACTTCCATCCAAGATATATATTCTCTTGGCAAATAAGATTAGATTAAAAATAACATTATCTAAAATTATAAATAAAATTAAAAGATTTAATTTTTTAAAATATTCATGATAATCATAACATAGATATGATGTATCAAGGAAAAAATTTCCTTTCCTATCAAAAAAGATTCAAGGAAAAAAAAATGAATAAATGTTCTTTCTCTTAGGGGCAACATAGTAAGCCCAAGCGGAATCAGATTTCCGTATTACCTGAACCTTGTTCAAATTTGTCCAAAAAATCCATAAAGTTTTAAAAGTTTCATTTTATTTTCCAATTACAGACTATACAATTCTTTAAAATCAATGATATAAAATTAACTACACATTCAGAAATACCTTAATTAATAATTTATTAAAAACTTATCTTATGATTTAAATTTAGTTACCTCCACCCAAAGTATATTCTCTTGAAAAATAAGATTAATAAAAAATAAAATTTTATAAAATTATAAATAAAATTAAAATATTTTAAAATATTTATGATAATCATAATATATATATATATATATATATATGATGTATCAAGGAAAAAAAATTCATTTTCTATCAAAAAAAATCAATAAATGGTCACAGAAAAATCTTCTAAAATATTATAAAAATTAAAACAATATAAACAATATCTACCAGATGCGATCACGTTTAGCTTTAACAAAATCCATAGTTGAACATTCATAACTTTGCATATAATAAACCATAAACTTCAAACAAATTTATTTTTATCTTCCAATTACATAAATACACACTATACAATTCTTTAAATTAATGATATAAAATTAATTATATATTTAGAAATATTTTTTAATTATTAACTATAAGTTAATTAATAAATTATTAAAAAAGCATCTTCTGAATTAATTTTATTTAAATTTTTATTTATAAATTTTAAGGATCAAATAATTGAAGAAAACATTTTGGAGTAAATATTTTTAACTAATTTTTAGAAATTAAAATTTTATAGTTTCATGAAATTTATTTAAGAAATTTTATCATGTTTATAGTAATTTGTTGTCCGGAAAAAATTAATGCCTTTGGCATGTAGTTATTCTATACCCCTATTTAATAATTCTCTAAATTACAGGTAAATAAAATTTTAAATAAAAAATAGATATCAAGACGTAAAATAAAAAAACAGTGATTAATAAAGGATAATTAAAAAATCTCATATTTCAATGAAATAATATAAATTGATGCTAAGCCAAAGATCTTCATTTGGTTAACGGAGATCAGTGTTTCAAAATAGCATACACTAATGGGTGCTTTTTGTTCCTGTTTCGGGACACATGATACAGAAGTTAGTCGATCCTCAAATTCAAATACTACAAATCAGCATCAACGTAACACAAGAACTCTCCCGTTCTTTCATAGGGTGCTCTCATAGTTTCTTTCTAATTTCTTCTTCTTGATATTAACTCTCACAGTTTCTATGTGTTTTAAATTTTCCTTAACAATTCTTTCACATAGGATGGGAATTAATCCTTTGTTTTGTTCAAACTCTTAATTTATACGTCTTTTTGTTGATTATATAATTCTTTTTTTTTTTTTGTTATCAAAGCTATTCTCATAGCCGGTGAATATATAGTTCTTCCTACAGATCTCTTGTTTTTATAGGTTTAAATTTTGTAGAGATTCTTACTTCGCTTTTACATAACTGTGAATTCAGACTCTGCTATGGATCATGTAAAAATGATTAATCGTTATTGCAGGTTTTGATCAAACTTTTGAATCCAAAACAATTGAAGATGATACAATCGTGCACTTCAATTATGGTCAAAACCTCTATTGTTTTTTTTTTTTTGGTTGAAACAAGAACTAAGTCAATGCGGCTAATCACTGACAGAACTCCCCATAACTAGTTATCCTGATTAGTTTGATTAGTTTGTATATTATATCCAATAGCTAAGACTAGTTCCTTAATACTTGAGCAAAGGCCAAGTCTTTCTCAACTAAATTGTTGTATGCATAAATGTTTAAATTTCTAACTAGCTACTTACTTATTTTCTTTTGTGTGATTGTTATTTTCAGTGTACTTTAATAATGTGCCCAACGAGAATATGGATTTTTGACGATGAAGCAGCACCAACACAACAGCCAGAAGCCACAGAAATAGATCAAGGTATAAAATGTTTAGAAAATTTTATATTATTATTTGGAAGTTTTAAAAATTAATAGATATGTAGATTCGGTTTGTTTTATCATCTTTATTATTGACTATTGATATATGTAATTCGGTTGCATAAATCTAGGAAAAATCTTGGAGAGATTCTGGCAATAATATGAAAAGAATCACCTATATAAACTCTAAATTATTTTACTATTTTTAATATTTTTAAGTCTTATAATTATTATAACTTTTTTTATTCAGTATTTATGTGTGTATATATATATGTATAAGAGGTAATCAAAATTTAATATGAGTTTTTGTTTTCATTTTTACTATTGTATTATGAGTTTTTTATAGCAAGGATGTCAAATTGAGTTGGATTAAAATAAATTATATGAGTAAAAATGACTCATATACTCATCCATATTATGGGATTTGTCCACTTTTATCTAGTTGCTATCAGATGATCCAACTGAGTTTTCTCTTTTCGAGATTCTCCTCAGTCATAAGTGGTATCAAAGTTTAATTTTAATAGGTAGCTAGATGTGTAAAGAGATTTCAATCTTCCACCTAACTAAACAACTTCATCTCATCAATGAATTTCATGGAGGATATAATTTTGAAATTCTAAAAGCATTAACTAATTTTAAATCATTTTTTTAGTGTATGTTAAATTATTGTTAAGACCTGATATATAATAAGAAGAGGAGAGGAATTTTTATGAAAAAAAGAATTTAGTTATTATACGAAATATAAAAAATATTTCCTTTGACTATTAATATGTAATTAAGTTGCCTAAATCCAAGCAAAATCTTGAAGAGATTTTGGTGATAATATAAAAGAATCACCTCTATAAACTCTAAATTTTTTACTATTTTTAATATTTTAAGTCATATAATTATTTAATTTTTTTATTCAATACTTTTATCCACACACACACATATATATAAAGAAATAAGACTAATCACTATATGAGTTTGTGTTTTCTTTTTTACTATTATATCATGTGTATTTTATCATTCAATCTTTAGGTTAAGATGCCAAATTAAATTGGATAAAAAAAACTATAGAAATGAAAAAGACTCATATACTCAATGTTATTTTAAGATCTTGAGTTAAGATATGGGATCTATCCACTTCTGTCTATGTTGTTATTAAATGACCCATTAAATTCTCCCCTTTTGAGATTTTTTTAAACAACAAGTGATATAGAGTCTAGTTTTAGTAGGTATCCAAATGTGTAAGGAGATTTCCATATACAGTCAGGCGAGAAAAATATATGTAAATAAAAAGATTCATTTATTCAATGCTTTAAAGGATTAAGTTATAACACCTGGCATTATATTCATTTGTATGTTGCATAGCCCAATTGAGCTTTTCCCGTTTAGGGATGTTCCTGGGGCGCAACACTTTACATAGATAACAATTTTTATATTTTACCACTTGTATGATATATATTCAGTTAACTCACGTAAATATAATAATTTGAAGGAACACTGGATTCTGCCGCTTCTGATTCAGACTCATCCGAAGAATGTCCTACATGTTTTGATAGTAAGTGTGTATTACATGTTAAAAATAAAAATTTCTAAGGATATTAGAGAAAATAACAATTAAGGATAGTTAGAGAAATTTATATCAGTTAAGGACCTGTTATTGTCAAAATTCAAATAAAAAACAAATCCCAATTGACTGTTGCTAATTTATAATAGGTTGTTAAAACTCTAATGGATACTTATTGAAAAAAAACAAACTCAAAGTAACAAGTATCTATTTAGAGTTTTAACAACAAGTGAACATTAACTGATATAAATTCTCTCAAATAGTCCTTAATTGATATTTTCTCAAGATGTTATATATATTCAATACTTTTGAGACATTAACCCATTAAAAATTATAGATAAATGACATTTTTTTTTAATAACAGGTTATACAGATGAAAATCCTAAGATAACTGCAGAATGCTCCCATCATTTTCACCTTCCCTGTATACTTGAATGGCAACAAAGAAGTGAAGAATGCCCCAACTGTAGACGGGTATGTATGTCTTAAACTGTGTATTATGTAACATTTGAAAATATACATTACTTTTTTGATTATAAATTTTATATTTTAAAATCTTTGGCCATGATTTTTTTCTTGATATTTGATATAAGGCCCTTTGAAATATAATTTTTTTCTAAATATTATTTACTTTAATACTTTTAAACGAAGGGAAAATATAACATCTAGTTCATTGATTTTCTTTCGTTTACTAATTTAAACATTGAGTTTTGATTCAGAATAACTCAATCTTTTTAGTTTATTGAATTAAAAAATTATATCAATGTTTTAAGTAATATATATATATATATATATATATAAACTGATTTGTTCTAAGTCAATAAACTATAACAATTGAATGGTTCTAAACCAAAGTTTTAGGACTGAATTGATATATAATTAATGAAAAGTTTAGTGACTAACATTTATATTTTGTTTTAACTAAATAATCTTCTACCTGACTAAACAACTTCATCTCATTAATGATTTCATGGAGGATATGATTCTGAAATTCTAGAAGCATTAATTAATATTTTTTAATTTATGTTAAATTATTGTTAAGTCCTTATATATAATAAGAAGAGGAGTGCAATTTTTGTGTGTGTGTGTGTGTGTGTGTGTGTGTGAGAGAGAGAGAGAGAGAGAGAGAGAGAGAGAGAGAGAGGAGTCACATTCTTTGGGCTATTTGCTTGGGCTTAAGTTCAAGCCCGTTAAACAATTTTTAATTCCTATGCAAGTTATTTTATTTCAGTTCGTATCATGTGATCACAGATTAACTTTTTGAGGTTATTGGATTAACTTTGCAGGTGCTGATCATTAATAAAACATTTGATCGATGATGACAGTGACCACATCTAAACAAATATATCAAAGAAATTTTGATGTTTCTCGATTCTTTTTTTAATGATGTACTCAGTTTGCTAGATAGTTCATTTTCAAGTTTTCTTGTAATTTTTTTATCTTCAACTTTTCATTTTTTAAGAAGACTTCATCTCATTTACTCACCAACTACTGAAATTTGAATTTTGTTAATGCCACCATAAAAAAATGGATTCCATCACAGGATCCATTACCAAGATGATCTACATTAAAACTGAACAGTTTAAATTTAATTAATCTAATTTTTTAATATATGTTTTAATATTTCCCTATTTTAGTTATATCACGAGGGTTTAAATTTATACCTCTACCCGTACTCTATTTCATTTTAGCTCCTACCTCTTACTAGATCTAGTCATCTCATTTTAAATGTAGAGTCAGTAATTTGAGTCAAACTTGATGAATTAGCCTGAACTCGCCTAAAAAATTTAGGACTGAACTTTAAAAAAATATATTTTTTTATGTTCAATTAACCCAAATATGCCTGAAAAAATTCAAGCCAAGCCTGATTAGGTTCGGGCTTGACTCAAATACTTGAATAAAAAATATTTATTTTTAAATAATATATAAAATATAATAAATATTAATTAATTTTTAAATTTTTAAGTTATTTTATACTAAAATATTATATATTCGAGTCTTATAAGTAATTTTAAAGCAAAAAATTAATTAAAAATAATTTAAATTATTCAAGATGAGTTTGACTATTTGGGCTTTTTCATGGAACTGAGCTTGTTCAGATTTGGGTTTATTTGGGCCAAGCTTAAATAGGTTTGGCTTGTCTGAATCTTTAGCTCCACTCAGATGGTTAATTTTTTATGTTAATGAATAAAAAATGTAAAATAAAAATATATTTTAATCTTAGACAGTTGAGATCCCATCACACCACCATAAATTACGACATTATGTATATGAGTGAAGGTTGCTCATTTAAATTTATACCATTTGCTAAGTCAATACATTATATATATATCATAAAAAAATTTAAAAAAATCATTCCAATAAAATTGCATGGGTTTAAAATTATAGACTATAGTTGTTTATAATATTTAAAATTTAACACACATATATTATATAAACCCTGTTGGCACTTACACGTCTATTAATAATTGCTGCAGATTGTAGATCCATAGGATAAGATATTCTTCCTTCATGTTTCACTGTTCATTTTCCCAGTAAAATCTTATGTCGACTTTGACTCAACAAGATATCTTGACACACGAAACAATAAATAAGGATCTTCTAACAGTAACATCACTTTAAAACCCTGGCGTCACATCCACAGAGCCATATACACATCACCAGACTTTAACTTTATATTTTCTCAACTTTTCGGAGACATCCGCAGTATTTTCTCAGAAAATTTTTTTTCATCGAGTGAGAGTTTAGTTTTGAAGTAAAAATTGGGATAATAAATCTTTTCGTTCCTTAAATTTGCATCATCAATTATTGGTTTGGTCCTTGTTATTGTTCCTTAACTAAGTTTCATTGTCCCTAAAAAGTTGAGGTTGTTGCGTCACATGCAAAACAAATTAGCAGCATGCAAAAAGGGGGGACAGAGAGAGCGAGGCATGTAGAAATATTAAAACACGTAGGGTAACGATTCATACATGATACATGCATATATAAACAAAAAGCTTAATTACCATTAAGCTGTGAGTACATATATAGTTACAGTTTATAACACACGTACGTGAACATAATAGCATTTAAAATAGAGACATCAATTATGAGTTCAGTAATCAACATTGTCTCATTGTTGATATGATACGTAATATAATGCCTCGCAATATCAGAAGACACAGAAAACAACATACGAGTATTAATTAATTAAGTTCTTAATTAATTAATAACATCCGAGGTTGCAGGAATAGAGTGGCTCCAGGGTTAGGTCAAGCTCGTTCCTTTCTGCTTCCGCAGTTTCCTCTCGGTAATTCCCTCTGCAATATAAATATATACATACACATATATATATATATCAATTTAATTAATTGATTAATTAATTAATCTACCCTAAAAACCAGTCAAGCACACCAATTATTTATGATAGATTTGTGTTGATTATGGGGTGAGAAAGTGGGAGCCACAGAGAGAGAGAGAGAGAGAGAGTTCCGTTTTTTTTTTTTTTGGGTTTTGTTTTGTTGGATGTTTCGTGCATAAAAAGAGAGGAAATGAAGGAGTCAAAATTAATGATGAAATGATGTGGATATATACCCACCAATATGAAAAAGAAGGCTAGACTTTGAAGCTAGAGAAATGACATTTAATTTAATTATTATTTATATAATAATGATACTTATTTTGAAAGTTATAATATTTTAAATAAAAAGGGGATAACATAGTTAAATTGATGCTTTATACTTTAAGAAAAAATTGACAATATGTTTTTTTTTTGTTTTTAGGATAAGTTGAATAATGTGTACCAAACATTTTAGATAACTAAATCTCTTTGCATCTCCTTTTTATTTTATTTTTTTAAAAAAATTATTTTCTCATCCACATCAAACATGACCTAAACTTGCTAGAGCAATCTAAAATTATATATCTCGAGAGAGAAATTAATATAAAAAATGAGGTTATTTATTAGGCTTGTTTTCCCCTACCTTTCTATATATGATCTCTCTCTCTCACACATTTTTTGCAGCACATATTTTTTACGACTACAAATAATTCAGATTGAAAATGGTGTAACAAAGAGGATGAAAGAGTAATTTAATCAAAATAATAATAATTAATTAATTAAGAAATTAATTACCCGATGTGGAGAGTGGGAAGTGGAGGAGGAGGGAGTAAATAAGATGAATTAGGTGCTCCAAGGTTTTGGTGTTCCCATGTCATATGCTGTGTTGCCGCCGCCTTCTCTTTCTCCTTTATCTGTTAATAATCTCATAATCATATCAATTATCAATAAATTAATCTCAAATCTCCCCAAAACTAATTAATTATTAATATCTGTTCAAACACAAATATGTAAATGAAACTGTAATCAGAAATTTGAATTTGAATTTATTATGTTTTGAGAGACCAATCCCTTCTATTAAAATCAATTACGACTTTGATAGACATGATTGTCTTATTACGGTACACATTTTCTAAGATGTGTCAGTTTGGCAAAATATAACTAACTAGTTGATTGTTGATGTTTCCGCAATTTAATTAATCAACCAAATAGGAAAAACTTTTCATGAGTCTTTATGTATGCATGTTAGTCTCTCTCTCTCTCTCTATATGTGGTGTGTATATTATTCTCCCTCTTCACTTCATAGTATATATATTAAACCTAACGACCGACCATGAAAAGACAATTACCTGATTTGAGCAATTTAGAATAGTACGAACATGAGAGTGTGTGTGGATGGATAAAGTAACAAGGTAAGGCAATAATAATATTATCAATTAATAATATTATTTAATCACACATAAGTACGTACGTACCTTCTTTGCCAGCATGCTATTCTGTTCCTGTATCACTTTCTCCTACCGTTCATCGGGAAAAAAAAAAAAAACGATGAGACAACAATTTACATCTTTGATGAACAAACACCATCCAAATTAACATGTGTATATTATGTGTTTTATTTGTCCTGTAAAACTTAACTGAAGTGTATATAATACTACAGAACTATTTTTGAGAAAAAAAGATTAATAAATAAAGTTGGAAAAAAAAATGTCATATGGGGGGTTCCAAAGACGCTCACCTTTTTCTGAAGCTCCGCGATGGACTCATAAATCAGCTGGTTCTGTTTACCAAAAATATAAATAGATAAGGAAGTAGTAATAATTAATATATATATATATATATATATATAAAATAAACGTATTATATATATAATCAGTAAAGCCAGATAATGTTTTTGAAACAACGGAATTAAAGTTGTACATATATCTAATCTAATAATAGAAGTAATAATATACTCTTAATTAACATCGCTTGTATATGTAGTTAATATATTGGTTTATATATATAATATATATATTATGTACTTTGCGTGTCCGAATTTGTTTGATGGAAGTATCAAGCTGCTGCTCCAGACTGTGCAGCTCTTTGAGGCTCAAAGAACCCAGATCTTCTCCCACATAGTGCCTGATATAATATGTATAAGATTAACCTAGCTAGGAGTTTGATCGTTAATATATGTAAACATTAAACAACACGAAAAATTAAGCAGGCACATCAATCAACGATCATGTATATTGAATATATATTATGAAAAACAGTACGTCTAGCTGATGATGATGATGATGATATATATACACAGTGCAAGCACAGTAGTATAGAAATATGTACCTATGGTTTCTCTGCAAAAGGTCAATCTTAGCTTTGAGTCTAGAATATTCAATGGTCCAGTTTTCCTGCACATTGAGATATCGCTATAATCTGTTATATGATCAATTAGGTCTATCATGGCGCTATGTGTGTGTGTAATATCACACGAACCTGTGACTCAGAATTATCATTTTCTCCTGCTAGCTGTCTCTCTGCATACGCATACCTTTCATGGCGTTCCAGAATCTTCTCCATGCTTTTTAATTAATGATATATCGGCATGACGACGCGCCGAACGACCCAGGCCAGATTAAATGAGAGCAAAATTAGCAATAAGTAAATACGGAATATATATATATATATATATGTATGTATATAACATCTAGTTTAATAGTATTATTTTACTTTTTCAGGACTCTCGCATAAGGCTGTTTTATTTTTGTTACACACACTTATAATGTTCATATGATTCATCAATCATAGAAAACCCATCAGCCTTGCCAAACTCTACCAGAAATGGAAATTTATATGTATACATGCTTACAAATTTAGATCATAGTTCATATAATAATATCCATCTAAATTAAAACAAACAGAACAGGCTATATATGAATGAAACCTGTGTGTGTGTGGGGGTGTGTGTGTGTAAGCAAAAATGAATGGATATATCACTCAACAAGCCAAAAAGGATTAGTAGTTTTTACCTCAGAATAATAATCTTGATGGAGCAACAAAAATTAGGCACAAGTTTTTTTCCCCAAAAAATTATGCACGAGGTTGAATTCTCATTCTTTCAATGAACTATATACCTATATATATATATATATATATATTTATATATATAGTAGCTGGCAGTGTCTTAGGAAAAAGACAAAGGTAAAGGTAAAGATGAAAGCACCATGCATGAGTATGAGATTTACTTAATTTTGTTTATAACTATGCACTTGTTTTCCTCTTTATAAGATACTTTTTGACTTACTAAAGGGAATCTTAAGGTCTTCAAAGCAAACCTTAATTTCTGACTTTAAATAGCATATGATGCATGTAACTAAACGATTAAAGTAACAACACAAGCATGTGCGTAAATTTGATTATTAGTAAGATCTATTAATTTTCTATAAGTAATTAAAATATACACTATGCAAGATTAATTATTATGAATTCCATACTAAATTATGAATGCAAATATGCTGTTGAAGAGAAAAGAAATAGAAAGGATAGACATTTATACAAATACTACTCTTGTTTGGCAAGAATCTAATTAATCAAATAAGGAATCAGAATTAATCATTTTTTTTATTAATTACTCATAGAGAAGCTTTGCATGGTAAACATATTGTATTATTTTCTCGCTTAATTCCTCCACCGGCAGATCGATCCGAAAGGACAAGCGTTCTTCTTTTTTTTTTTTTTCCTTAAGAATATGGAGATCAAAGTGTTGATCGGCTAGACAAATTAAAGCAGCAAACTATATGCAAAAGAAAAGGACGAAGAAGTAGAAAAAGAAGAAACGCATAATATTTTCAAAGATTATTGGAAATCAAAACAAAAGCATCGAAGCATACATACATATAACTCAAAATCAAGGAATAATTTAGACCCAAAGAAAAAAGAAGAAAAGAAAATTAGTCAAGGGTTTCACAAGATCTGGTGTACATCACTGTTTTATAACTCAGGGTTCGCGAAATCTCGGGTTGCAAACATGCTACTTTTAGAATCTCAACATTAAATCCTTTAATCCCTCATTAAAATTGCTTTTGATTTAGTTTGAGCCAGTTAAAAACTATAGCTTCTATACAACAGTCTGTTGTGTCTACTTTTCAGACATTGATCAGTTATTATCCAGATTTGATCTTGTGAAAACTGAAAACGAACAAAAAATAGCAAAGGAAAAAAAAAATTCATTTTCACTGTTTTATTTCAACTCAAAAGCAAAACTCTCCTCAAATACTGCAAAACAAACAAGTAGCAATAATGATAATTAGACCAAGCAAGGAATATACAGATTCATGAGAAGTAAATAGTTCTCATCAACATCATGAGTTACTGAAAGTAGAAAGAAATCAACACTTGCATGGACCAATCACAAATAAAAAAAAAACCAGATATAAAATAAGTAAAAGATACATAGTAATAATGATGTGAATATATATAATAAATATTTATTATACCAAGAATCAGTGGAATACTCAAAGAGCTTTCCTTTGTGGGAGAAGACAATAAGAGCGACCTCAGCGTCGCAGAGGACAGAGATCTCATGAGCTTTCTTGAACAATCCATTTCTCCTTTTGGAGAAAGTCACTTGCCGATTGATCTTGTTCTCTATCCTCTTCAGCTGAACCCTACCTCTTCCCATTATGTGTGTGTGTGTGTGTGTGAACTTTCTTTCCTTTTTCTTCCCAAGAAAACCCTAGACAACCGAAACCCTGATGAATGATGCAGAAGAAGGAGATATATATCAGGAATTTATGGGGCGTTTCAAAATCTTTCTTCTTCTGGGCAAGTATGGGAAAACGTAACTAAACACAGATATATAGCGAGAGGCTGAGTTTGCATATAGACAGATTTGAGAAAGGATTGGGGTTTGGCGACAGCTGGTTTGATAAACCTAGGGCTCTGCCTATTTTGACGTTGTGTTGTCGATCTCTCATTGGCTGCTCATTGTACTGTTTGCTCTCATTGTGGGGATTTCTCTCACATGATGTTTGATCTTTTCCTACGGCAATAGGTCATTCTTCAATTTGGCAAAGAAAAACAAAACAAAACGAAAACGAAAACGAAAAGAAAACGAAACTAAAAACAAAACAAAGCGATTTGTCTTTGAAGACTGATTTAGTTTTTAGCAAAAGGAAGTTTAGTTAGTTAAGCTTCGGTAATACTGAATGAGTTATTAGTTATTGTTTGTGCCTTAAATATAACACTTCAGTGTAAAACGAAAAATCTGGATTTATTATAGACACAAACAAATGTATGCATATATAGTAGTATGTTTGGAACGTAAATTTTATATAATCCTTTTTTTCATAATTCAAATTTATAGTTCATGCCCGGGCTGCTAAATTGAATTTGAATATTAGATGAACTTAAAAAAATTTGTAGGTTTTTTTGTTTTTGGTGGAAAAATTTGTAGTTTATTATACTCATTTCGTCCTAGTCTATAAGATATTTTTGTAAGTAATTTGGTATTCAAAATATAGGGCATTTTGACAAACAATGTTTCATGATTATACTTGCCCCAATATTACCCTTCCCTCCTTATTATTATATTTTGGGTAAATCAGCAAATTATTTCCTAAATTTTAAGTCTAATAGTGCCGTAGATCCTGAACTTATTTATTATGCAAATTATTTTCTTAATTTTTAAAAATAGTGTAATCTGACTCTTGTCATTAACAAAAATTAACTTTAATTGTTAATTGACCCAAAAGAAACTTCAAATAAAGAGCTCAAAAATTACAGAAAATAACAAAAAAAAAATTGATCATTTTCTATAATTTTTAATATCCTTTACTAGTCAACTAACAATTAATGTATTCAAAAGTTGAGAAAATAATGTGCATAATAAACAAGTTTAAGATCTACGGTACTATTAAATTAAAACTCAGAGAATAATTTGCTCATTTATCCTTATATATTTTCTCTCTCTTTCCCCATTTGATGTTTCACAAATAAGGTTATATTAAATGAAAGGTATTTTTAAAAATTTATATTTATCTTCTAAAAAAGAACATTATAAATATAAAGTGTATTTAATAAAATTTTATTAGTAAGGTATGCATGCGTAATTTTGTGAAAAATGTTTTTATATATTGGGACGAAGGCAGTGTATTGTTTGTTCTTAATATGCATGTGACTGATTTTCTGTACTAAATCCGGTTCCTTACACCTGGATAGTTAATTTCTAATTAATTATACACATTTATATCAACTCACAAAGCATGCTTTTTTATCCCTTAAATATATTCGAGGATTTCTCAATTTAATCTTTCATTGTTAATCGATCATCTTCAATTTAGTGTTACTTCTTATTTTTCAAACCAAATTAATGACAGTTGACAAAAAGGGAGAATAGTTGGCCAAAAAAAAGGGAGAATGATATTAAAATCTCAAAATAATGAATTTATGATAGGTAGATACCCAACAAAATTTTCTGAAAAATCAATTGAAAATATTGATTCAGATAGTTATAAATTCAAGAATTCTAAATAATATTTAATCATATGTTTAAATGATAACAAAACTAAGAGAAATGTGCTTGTTACTTGACAAAACTTCCAAAAGCATGAAAATCAAGAGAAGATTGTGTCATAGATTTATTTATGTTGTTCTTCTCTTACATTCAATTGTGAAAATTAATGAAAGCTATCATATGTTTTGAAAATGGTAAGAACATTCATCATATAAAACCCACCTTAGGTTCAAGTCCATTAAACTTAGGTGTCAAAATCTTAGAATGAACCTTTGATCATTTGTCGAATTCATGCTTGATCTAGTATAGACTCATTCATGTTTGGCTATCCCTTGTGCATGTTAGGACTTAATGGACTTGAGTTGAAACTAAAACTTGCTTAAATTAAATTTCAGAAGTGAAGTTCAACACTATGGTCCAATCCACATTTGATCTAGAATGGACTCGTGTGTTTTAGCAATTAGTGTGGACAAATATCTTGGACATGTTTATGTGTTATGATTCATGCTTAAGTACATTCAATGTCCACACTTGAATTGTCCATGTGTATTAGGGTAAAGTGTGTTTTTATTCCAATCCATGTGTGACTCTAGATTGAATCATGGTTGAAATAAATTTTACATTTAGAAACTTTCAAGCTTGACGTAAAAAGCCTTAGAGTTAAATAAGTCAAATCAAGCTTGTTTCAAAAGTAAGCCAAGTGTGCTTTAGCCAATAGAAAAGCAAGGTGCTTCTGCACACAAGTGTTTTGACACACAAAGAAGTTAGGTACTTTTGCCTTCCAAAACACACTTGAACTCATTATAGCTTCAAGCTTGATTATTTAGTTGAAGTGAACCAAAGCCTTCTGCTTTATTGCCATTCCATGCATGATATCCTTCTAAATCACACTTGAACTGGCCTCTGACAAGCATTTAAAGCTAAACACAAAAAAAGTAGCTTTTTGTAACATTTTTCATTTCTATACATTTTTAAGGACTATAATCATTTCCCTACGTGTTTAATGGTCTTAGCAACCTTAAACTATATATAAGATATCATTTAAATAAGTGGGTAACACATTAATCGAGAATTAAGTATCTTGCATTGATTTCTTACTAATTTACACTATGTTCATTTGAAAAGTGCTCTCAACTAGTTATAGGCATTTATTGTAATATCTACTCTTTTGGGAGTTTATTGAGTGTGCCTTAAATAATTTCTATCATCTCTTTGAGAGAGAATATATTAAAAAAACATCTTCTACTTACTTTTAAGTGAAGCAAGGGCATGGTTGTGATCCCTTCTGTTTATACAAAGAAGAGATTTTCTCTACGAAGGTAATAAATTGTAAGGAGAGATTTCCTTGCCTACAAGAGAGGTGTTTTTTTGTATGAAAGACTCACTTGTTCTGAGAGACTTGTAAATAGCTCATAAGTGCCCAAGTAAACTTGTGGTTTATATTGAAGTGGCAAGCACTTATTGAAACTTATGGATATAGTAAAAAATCTTGAGAGTAATTTTGAGAACTAGATGTAAGCCAAGTAATTGAGTTAAATTAAGATAAATCTTCTTTATAGTGTCTCTATCCCTAAAGAGTACTTTACATTTAGCTCATTCATATATTGCTTAATCTTTTGGTTTTGTGTTTAAAAGATTTACTCAATTTAAAGAACTTTGCTTTATCTGAATTGATTTAGTTATTAGCTTTGAAATAATTTTAGCAAACTTGTTTTTGTATCTTACTCAACTAAATTAGTCTTGACAAAATTTCTGATTTGCATTTGTTTATAAATTTAGTTTAGAAATTCATTCTATATTTCATTTTTCAAGTGTCTTGATAAGAACCTTGCAGCAGAAGTACTCTGTATGAACATAACATTTCTGTAAAATTTCTTATTGCACCTTAAACTTGTGCTAAACTTTGCCAAAAAAAATTGGTCAAAAAATTCTTAAACATCCAATTCACCCCCTCTCAAGCGTAGTTACCTAATCTAACACATAAAACATTTAAATTTTAAATATGACTCTTAATTGCAGTTGAGGTTCTTGTTTGTAATTGTTTGAATTAATATTTATAATTTATTTTTTAAAATTTTTTTTCAAAGACTTACTTGTCATAAATTCAAAGTTTTGGGGTTCTATGGTCATCTCCCTTAAAAATATGGCAAACACACATATCAATTAAACGATGCTCCAAAGAAAATATTTTTGTAATTTGATCGCCTGCAATCACACACACAAGCTACATTAATACTTGTTGGCAAAAAAAAAAAAACTAGATTATATATATTTGAAAAAAGAAAAATATTATTTGGTCCATTAAACCTATATGTAGTTTTTGTATTAATTAGTGTCCGCTTGAATTTCAGTTGGGTATAATAGATTATGAAAATAATTAATTAAGTAGTAGATTTTAATCATAATTGATTATGTTATAACGCAATCTGTTTGGATATTATTTTTTTTAAAATTAATTTTAATAGAATTAAAAATGTCTGAATAATTTATTCAAAATTAATTTTTATTGTATAAATTATTATAAAGGACATTGCTTTTCAAAATTAAACTATTAATATATTTATATCTAATATTATTAAATTTGTTAAAATTTACTTAAGAAGTAAAATATATTATTTAAATTATATATCTGATTAATTATAAAAATTTAAATTATATTAATATTAACAATTTAATTTACGTAAATAAATAACTCAATATATCTTAATTCAAATAAATTTAATAAAAGAGAAAGATTTAATTCTTAAATACTAAAATTATTTTTATAATAACTAATAAAGATAATAATATATAAATTAATTTCTAATAATATTATAGATATAGCCATATCTAACAAAAATGTTAAGCTTTGCTTTAAAATTTTGGCAACATAAAAAATGTAGCAATGTAATAAATAATGTAAAATCTCTCTTTATAAACCTTTGCAATATCTTTGTCATGACACTAAATTAAATTAATTTTCCTTCATCAATTAATATTTTATTTGAATTTGTTTTATTATAAGTGCTAAGTAAAAAGTGGTGGTTGACAGAAACTAATTATGTTCAGCAATTTTTTTAAAGATTTAAAATTTAAATTTTACTAAAAAAAAGAGAAGAGAAGAGAGTTTTTTTTTTTAAAAAAAATTGTGCTTATAATTTTTTTTGAGCTTTTCTTTGTAATTTCTCCAATACTTTTTTATCAGCGTTTCCGAAAAAGTTCATAATTTGGCTTTTGAAAAAAAAAATTGATTTTAATGGTTGAAATTGAATTTTTTGCTTTTTCAGGTGTGTGGCTAATAAACCAAATAATTAATTTTTTTAAAACAAAATCGATTAAAGACGTATCCAAACAGGCACTTATCCGTATTATTTGTATTCACAAGTGTCTTGATAAGAAATTGTAGTA